CCCGGCTCGTCTTGGCTTCCTTGATTTTAGCCGTTTGCCTTGCGTCGGCTTCCAGTGATGTTCGGTGTCCGGCAAACAAGGAGGATAGAAGGGTAGGAGAGGGCACGACGTCGGCTGCGTAGCCTCCACAAGCCATGCTCCCCTGACGCCTCGCCTCTTTCTCATTTTCCTCCTTCCTCTCCTCACTTACCATGCCAACGTGACCACATCATGTGACCGTAGCTAGCCTTCGTCTTGCTATGGAGTTAGTATGTATGATCTCTATGTGCTATGGGGTACTAGAATACACCACAGTCTAGCCTATGATCTGATAAAACCTACCGGACGGAGCGCGCGCTAGCTTGCAAGGAGTCCTTCTACAGTCAACCATCCATCTCACACGTGACATGTCACGCACACCAATCGCCAGACAGATCTGCGGTCACGCTGGGCACAAAATCGTTTAAACTTTTTATGACTAGGCTTCACCAATATTGCAACGTGCCCCCTCCTAGTACTTCTAACCTCCTTGCCGGCAAACGAGAGTGGCTTCCGGTAGGATTCCAGCGGCGGGTAATCGAAAGTGGCGCTGGTATAACTTCCAGCGAAAGTGGCTACGCTGGTTTCTGGTGAAAATGAGTGGAAATTAACCCGTTTCCACCGAATCTAACTGGAAGTTTTTGCCGGATTTTAACCGTAAGGGGCTCCGGTAAAAGGTCCAGCGAAATCTGGTTACTGGAAGTGGCGGCCGGTAATATTTCCACCAAACAACTGGTAAACTATGCTGGTTTCTGGTGAAAATGAGTGGAAATTAACCCGTTTCCACCAAATGTCACTGGAAGTTTTTGCCGGATTTTTCAATAGGTACTTTCGATTTTGGGATTATGGCGGTTTTAGCGCAGTAAGCGTCCCTAAACTGCAAGGTATTTTTTTTCTCGTTATTGTGCGTACTTTTAAAGATATCGACGGCCTCAAAGTTTTGTTTGGGGCACGGCCAACAAAACCGAAACTAGCCGATCGAGTCCCCGGCAACACTAGAAATCAGCCGCTAAGTGAACGTGACGTCAGGATCGTTCTCATTCAACGAGTATGCAGGCCGAGCGGCACCTACCTCTGTTGCGCTAGCCGTGCAAAGATAGGAGGTAAGCTGATTTTGTTTTAGTTCTGCATATGTGGTAGTTATCCAGCATATGTAGCAAGAGGTAGTATACCCAAAAGCTGGCGACTGGAAAACCCGTGAACTCGTTAGGTGCCGTACTCGGCGGCCGCCACCGCGCGTGCGCTATGCCGTATTTGTTGCTTGTCTCCAAAAGCTAGCGACTGGAAAACGAGCGAACTGGTTCGGTGCCGTACTCGGCGGCTGTCGCCGTGTGTGCGGTCTTCTGTACTCGTCGCTAGGCCTGAATTGTCATTGGGGCTCCGTGAATGGAGCGGCGTTGCTCTACGCCGCGCTGCCAGTGACACACAGTACTGGGGGCCCTCTCGCTTTCGCGCTGCGGGTCAGTCCCAGACACGAAGCTTTGAGGCTTTCCGGCGCGGTGCCCGAACAAACGTGTGCTGGGCTGTACACATCCGTTTTTTTTTTTGTTCTTTTTTCGTCGGGCGCGTAAAAGCCGAAGTCCAAAGTCCACTCATCGAACAGCGTTCTCCCAAACCTTTTCCAATTTCCGGTCCGTTGGAAACTTGAGAAAAAACAGCTCCGTGTTGCGCAGCGGGTTGTTTGAACAGCCCACAGCGCTACAAGTTGCACTCGGCATCTTTCGAGGAACAGTTGGGGAGTCTTGGGCGCACCGAGTTGCTCGCTAAAACGAGTCTTGGAGTCCTCACAAGCAAATAAAAAAAAATGCTATACTGAAGCTACACGGGCTACAGATAAAAGCAACGGCTAAACATGCCAATCCCAAGCCGAAGTAGCATTGGTAGCGGCTCAAAGAAGCACACTCCGCGCAACGCCCGAACCGGAGGAAACAAAAAAAGAGAACGATACTAACGTCACGGCCCAATGTTGCTTTAGCGATTGGCAACCCGCTGGCCACCTGCTAAGGAGCAGCGGCTCGCGGCAGGTCGCATTTTTATTATCGGCATTAGTTGAGAATGCGGCGTCCCACGGACGTAATATTTTGGCTGGGGCCGTATTTTGTGTCACTATAGCGATACCAGTAATTTATGATAATGTAGTGATTGCGCAGGCGAGCTGGTGGATGTTAACCATTTTGTTCTTAGCCCGAGACTGAGGCAGGAAAAGAGGAAAGTTTCAAGAGACGTGTCCTCGACTGTTCATTTTTCTTCTACTTTGAAACTTTCCTCTTTTCCTGCCTCAGTCTTGGGCTAAGAACAAAATGGTTACCAGTAATTTATTTCATTCTGAGTAGGGGTGTCGCGAACTTTTGTCGAACCAGATTTTTTGGTCGAACTTTCGAGGTTCGACCGGGTCGAACCGGTTCGACGAACCTTCGAACTTTTCATCAGATTCGACCGGTTCGACTTTGTGGACAGTGTGGCCAGACCTTGATACAAACATGTCTAGGTTTGGAGAATTTTTTTTTTTTATGCAAAGGGTTATTTTATTTTGTGAACAGCTGCAATTAAAATAAACTAATTCTAATCACTGAAGAAGTTAATAACTTAATTTTTAGCACTTTATTGACTAAAACAGTCAATCAGCGCTGCACTTAATTCATCTCTTAGCCATTACCATCCAATCCGAAGCTAACTGGCCAGCCTGTCGCGCATGCGCACACGAGTCGAACCTCAATACAAGGTTCGTCGAACTTTCCACTAAAAGTTCGAAAAAGTCGAACCTGGTCGAACTCGAACCGCGGCCGGTTCGCGACACCCCTAATTCTGAGTTTTGGCCAGAGTTGCCCTTTAAAATATGACACACTGATATTTAGTTACTTTCTTCGTGACCGCTGGTTTGCTCGAACCCCAAGAGACGTGGAAACCGCAAAAAAGGTAGACGCTTAAATATGATTGATATTGACCTTTGATGCAATATTGGCGCAAATTCTTCAGATGTTGGCACAATGCAGCAGGATATGCACTTTGGCACAGTTCGTGTCTCACCAGAAAAGGTGGTGTTAGACTGGTGGCAGCTGATAAAACCCATTTGCTCCACTGACGTCTAACCCCTGGTTAGCTCAGTTGGTAGAGCGCTCCACTGGAAATGGAGAGGTCCCGGGTTCGATACCGGACCAGTCGGATTTTTTCGGCCACGCACCAGTCAGTCATCTAGCTGTTTGGATATTTGTTTGTCCTTTGTCCCTCTTGCTCCCCTCCTCCAGAGATTATTTTCGTCATTCTTGTCCAGCTCGCTCGGACTTTTGCATTTAATTGCGTTATAATCAGCTATGACCTCGCATGTCCCATACCACATATCGCGGCTGCTGCAGATTCGCGTCTCATGCGATAGAGATGGGGAAACCCGCTGCACACTAGCTTGTCCCACGTAACGGTATTGCCGATCGCGCGGTTGATGCGATTCATGTCGCACATCGCGTGATTGATATCCGGCGACAATCGGGGAGTGGGCGATGTTTCAAAATTTTTGTTATGGGATATTCAGCTCCAAAAACAGGATGGGCGATTTCTCAGAGGCAACCGCTCATAAGGGATTTTGCGGAAGATGACCTTGGCCTGTTTGTTGGTCAAGAGTAACGCTTGACCGTAACGTGTCACTTTTCTCATCAAACTCAGCCCTAGAACATGTTCTGCGTTAAAACTGCATCTTGGAATGAATGCGCCGAGAAACTGAGGGAGAGGAGGAGACGAGAGAGCGCGCGGGGGCGTCTAAACGTCAGGCTCTGGTTCGAATGATTAGTGGGTAAAGCTGCCTTTGTCTCCACTGCACTCATTGAACACGTCCAAATGCGAAAGCCAAACGCCGGACGCCCGCGTTCGACAAGTGCAGTGGAAACAAAGGCTGCCTTTGTCTCCGTTGCACTCGTCAAACGCGTTGGAATGTGAAAGTCGGGCGGCTGACAGCAGCAGCTAGCTTTAGGCCCACCCAGTCATTGGATCCTGGCAAAGTGGCGTCAAGCTCCCCATGGAGTGAACAATTTTTTCTTGACCTTGGTGAGCCGAACCCAATTGCGGGTGACAGGTTGCTTCATAAAGACATTTCTTCAATAACGAAATTTTGTTGTCCACACACCGGCAAAACTAGTTCACACCTTTGCACCACCACCACGTGCGGCGTCGGTGCTCGGTAGCATTGAAAAATAATTTTCGTGTCTTGAAATATGCAAGAACAATAAATGCTTTGCACCTGACGTCATCCCGTCAGCTCTCCGGCCAACACCAGTGACGAGGAACTCCCCTCTCGTTGGGACTCTCGTGTGTGTCCCAGACATACCCACACGTCGCTATTCTCCCTCTAGATGATTATAGTCACTCACAATTCATGCAAAAGCAGCTCCCCCCTAACTCTCTTCCGTGGAGGTGCGAAATGGATAATGTGACGTCTGTGCATCTGCGGAGATAACCATGAATGACAAGTTGACTGCATGCACGGTGCCACCATAATGATCATGGCGAGTCTGGTTCAGAGCGACCGTTTGGAAGTTTAGAATGGACCGAAATGGCGATTCCTAGGGCACCCGAGACCAATCAGTCCTCAAGAGTTTGGGTCATCTGTATGTTAGTATATGTTTCTGTCGGATTGGGAGGCAGGGAAGGCAGTGACACTACTTTCCCAGGATCCTGCACTTTTAGATCTACCCGCTAGATCTACCGCGCTATCGACTCCTCCTCTCCCAGTTTCTCGGCGCATCGAGACTATTTCTTAGCTGAAAAACATCCTCCCGACGCACATAGACATGGGCAAGATCATACTCATTATTTGCCCTTATTTTATGCCCTTGTTTCCAGCCATTATGATGCACATAAAAAAAATCATAACACAACTAAGATAACTGCATAGGCTCATCCATCTTTCATGTTACAAAATATGTATCATTGTAAACACTGGCCACGACAGTTCCTGAGAAAATATTCCTTTTATAAGTCATCACCAAAAGAGATAGGCATTTCCAAGTGACATTTATTTGTTTCACTGTCACACAACCGTGTACTGAGACAAAAACCTTTGATTTCATTTTCGATGAATGGTGATTAATATTTGAAAATACAGCAGCATAGTGAGATTGTTCTTGCAATTTCCAGAGATGATGTATGTGTCGGTGGTTGCCACAGCAATCAATTCCCACATTAATTGAAAACTGGCAATGCTCACATGAAGTAATTTCTGGCACTATGAAAAGGCCAATATGTATATCAAATCCCAGGGAATTCACCCTTGATATTCTAAACGGCTGGCAATCTCTCGAACTGAAGAGATGAGTGCTTCATTTTCCTGAGGATTATCCAAGATGATGCCATGAAGTTTGGCCATGTAGCTGTCAATGTTTTCCAAGCTGGGTGTTTCACCCGTACCTGCCAAAAGGGAAACAATGACAAGCAAATCAGACTGTACAACAGGGCAGGGGTGGTCAGACGGACATATACAAGGAGCACTAAAAATGACCCATTTTAAGAGCCAGAATCGAAAAGAGGCAAGGCACTTTTTAAAAACTTTTTCTCAGTTGGTGGCCACGGCCAATTCCACTCTTAAAAAGATTGCTTAGTCTGTTTCTTTCACATCTTTGCGCCACAAATTCAGACTTGTACCCTATTTCGGACCTAACCGAGGAATCACAACCTAAATGGTACAAAGAGTACCGTATTTTCCGGACTGCTGTCCGCACCCGGTGTGCAGTCTGCAGGGGCAAATTTGGGATAAAAATATAAGTTTTAGTTTAGATAGTCAGCACCCGATACGTAGTCGGCACGCCGTACATAGTACACATGAGTCTTCTCAAACACGGCACACCTAGACAAATGTCTGCTTTCTTAGCTCGCAAAAGAACTTGTAATATACATAAACCATCATTAACATACTCTTTCATTCACAAAATCCGTAACGCCTTGTCACAATGAACGATTTTGAAAAACAACATTCCTGTATAGTCCACACGTGTAGATAGCCCGCACAGCCTAAAATTTAAACTTTTAAACATGTATAGTCTGCAGAATATAACACGGAAAATACGGTACGTATTTAAGACCAATTTTTCAGAGAGCCTGGAGGAAGTTAGATTTTTAGGACTTTATAGACCGGAAAAAGTCTCGTGAACGGTCGTGAAGATAGCTGCAAAAGAGTCGTCATTGTTAATTCTACTTTGGCTTAGATTGGCTTAGCAGCCAATCCAAATGCTGCTAAGCGAAACCGCTAGGTGGCACTATTTTTTATATTTTTATGCTCCGCACTATTACAGTAAAACCTCGTTATAACAAAGTTGAAGGAGCGGTCGTAATTATTTCGTTATAACCATTAGTTTGTTATAGCCAATGTCCATTTCTTCCCACTATTAGCAAGCAAGGGGAATTATGATTGCTTTGTTATATCCATTAGTTTGTTATATCCCGTTTTGTTATAACGAGGTTTTACTGTATTACAATTGCCATTTGATTTTGTCCGTTTTCTTCCGTTTTCCAACTGTTCCACAGAAACATGGAACAGTGTAAGCACACGCTGTTGGACTATGTGAAGAACAAGTCAAAGATATTGTCTGCTTCTGGAAATTTTAACTGCAACTTTGCCGCCATTGGCAACGAGCTTGAACCGCACGCAGAACTGACTGATGCCATATCATTGCTATTTGATGTGTATGACAAGAGCATGATGCTCACTCAAATCCAAGCATATGTCATCAGACACGAGCAAAGCACGAGGCAGGCAGCTCTAGGTGACTTTTTGAAGCCAGTTTAAGCTCAATAAAGTTCATTTTTTGTAATCTGCATATTTTTCAATCTGTTCTATTCTTACTTTTTTACCATCCCCAGAAAGTCCAAAAAATCGGTCTGCGACTGCACTAAAAGGTTTTAGCCAATCAGTAGAGCACAAACAGGTCTCTCCAGAAGCATGCAGTGTCGCAGTCACAATTGGAACTACAGCATGGATAACAAAGGCTCATGGTTCACATACTCCGCGATACTGCTAAGTGACTGGGTTTAGCAGCATCTTTCTACACATGCTTGACTCACACATTCTTTCAGATACATTTTAAAGCATGTATCTCTAGCATTACAAGAATAAAAAAGGAATGTTGAGCACTAGGACAGCATCAGGTGTGAAACAGAAGTGCAACGTTTGATAGAATCCAAACCCTACAACACTTTCTGGCAAGCAAGATGGCAAAGACTGTTCCAGATTTTCTTTCAAAACTAAAAAGTAGGGGTGTGCGAATACCGAATAGTACTTATCGAATCGAATTAAGAAAAGAAAGCCGAATATCGGATTGCGATATCATTTGTAAGAATTTTTCAGCGTGTTGTGAATGAGGTTATTATATGTGCAGAGTATGCGCCTGGTGCAGAATACGCACCTTGTATGGAACAAAAGCTTAAATGTATAAAAGTTCCAGTGAAAAAAAAAAAAGAAAAGGCAAGCAGCTGCTGATGGTCGTTGGCCACTAAAAATCCAATTTTATGGTGCAAACATACTCTATCTACCCTAAGCATCACAAAAAAACCAAAGTTACAGCCACACGTGCCTTTTTTTTTTTCTCACTAAAAGCACAACCCAACACTGCGACATGCCCTTTCTTATATTTGTATATCTCAGAAAAGGGGCATTTTGTGATTTTTGGTCTCCATTTTAAGATAGAGAAAAGGGCAACCGGGATTTTATTTCATATAAATAAACAGATACCTGTTAAATCTGAGTAATCAGGCTTAAACAATATAATCTGAAGTAAGAAAAAAAACATGTGGTTAGGTGGCGCAGGTCACCCTCTCTGTCCATCTATCCCGTTTTAGAGAGCCTAGATTTAAAAGAGGGAGCAAGCGACGCTGAAAGCACAGAGACTGCTCCCGCGCAGATTGGTTCTCGGCTCGCAAGTGTGCTTGTGTTGTGTTGTCGCGTAGAAAGAAGGCGAGCAAACGGAAGGGCGGCGACGCCTGTGCGATCGACACCCTCGTCTTTTTGTCACCTTCTCGCAGTTCGTAATTCGAATGCAACGCGGCTATCGAACGCTCGGAAACCCTTTCAAATCTAGGCACACTATTTTTCAGTTCCGTTTCATTCCGAATCAGAATATGCGGCTTGCCGTTCCAGAAAAACGACGACGACAACTCTACCGGTTTCATCGACATGGTCAACGTGGTTTTCTTTTTGTGATGTTGCAGTCGCTGATTTCTGCGAGTGTGGCAAGTGTGTTGTACATCGGTGCATCAATTCGAAACGAGGGGCTTTACTTGTGAAAAGAATTAGGCACGACGCAGAATTCCGGCCTCCCAACCATTCCTCTCTGGAAGCGGCGCAAACAGGATGTTTCGATTGTGATTCAAGGTTAGATTGTCTCACAATCATGAGTAACTCTGCATGCTATAAAGTTTGTCGCGTTCGTTACATCTCCTTTTTCTAACCTGTGCGTAAGATTTTTATGGAATGGTAGGACCAATAGGTGTTTCTCGCAAGGTCGGTCTAACATTACGGCGCTAACATCGGGAGGAAAAACGGCTCTTTTGTCAGCTCCGCGCCAACCGTCCGTCTTTGGCCGAATATATTGAATATTCCAATAACCGAATACCAGGAATTCGATTCACGAATCAAATTATTCGGGCAGTTGCTATTCGATTTGAATTCATATATTTGAGTATTCACACACCCCTACAGAAAAATTCAAAACCGAGTCACATTTGCATTTTATACGGCCTTCTGTGATTGCAAGCAACGGTCCCTGACATTTCCTCGGTGCCTGGCAGCTGCTTTATCCTTTGTTGGCACCACCAGCTGCCAACAGGCAACAGGCACAGCTGCCAACAGGCACTTACCAAAATCTTGATCGATCCTTGTATTAATAAAGTGCATGCACCTAGTTTCCTGCAAAATGCATGTTGAGCCAACTCATGGACGAGCAGAAAAGTATAAGGTTGAGATTCAAAACCAAGATCAGCACTCTGATTCTGCACATGTGAGCATCATGCTAGGTGTGCTAGAATGGGCCACCTTTTTAGGAAGAAGTGTAATCGTCCCTGGCCTACTTCTGCAAACGGCAGTAATTACACTCTCCGCATGCTCCACAAAAAAGCGGAGGCACGGGTCTTGCTAATAAAAAGGTCAGGCTAGATTCGATAAGGTCGACATTCTTCCTCGATTTTTCCTATCCGGAGAGCAAGTCGTCTGCTTCTTGTGCAGCAGTTGCGGGGATGTCAGAACGACGCCGAGCTCCGATTGAAAGGATAGTGGTGCAATTCCATGAGAGATTGAACCTGCATGCCCGCTCGACATTTTTGTTTTTTCTGTTTCTTTTTTATATGCGATGTAGACACAAATGAAACGCACGAAACTGAAGCTTGTGTCTCAAAAAAGTGTTTTCACTACGAGAAAAAGAATGCTTTAAGGTTGCGCGGCGGTCCTGCTCTCTCTGCAGACAGCAATAGTTGCCAACTTTGCAATCCTATGGAAGGCAGGTAAAGAGTAGTGTGCCAAAAATGTTTCCTGTTTCATATAACGTACCACAGTTTAAGTCAATTGGACACAATTATTGTGAGCTCTATAAACTAAAATAAAAATATAAAAATTTCTAACTTTAGACTAGGTGAAACAAACACACTAACTTTGAGGCCTTCTACCTCAATATGTATGGCATTAACGAGTTTGAAAACTATACATAATATAGGCCAGGACATCTAAAATATTCCTACAACTTGTAAACTTCCAATAAAAATACTAACATAAAAAAAATTGTTTGAAACAATAAATTTTAAAAAAATATCCATAATGAAAAACAGTTGTAAATGCGAAAGCATGAATGTCGTTCTTCTCCCTTATTTCGTCTGCGGCGTAGTCACATGGACAGCCACGTTTCGTCGGCCGACGACCGAGCGCGCGCTCTCGTCACGTGGCCGCACTGCGCTGAGCTCAGCCGTGCACCCTCTCCAAACTACGCCACACAAGAGCCGATGGGAGCCTTGCTCCTTGATGACGCGTGCCAGCCAATGGGAGCCTATCCATCAGATTTCTGCTACAGATGACATTGGGACAGTGGAAGGGGCTGTTTGGCATGGCTTCAAAGCTGATGACGTTGGTTCGCTCCATAGGACCAGTTAATGCTTTCACATTAATAAAAAAAAGTTCGAGGACACTTAAGCACTTCTTACGAGTTGTGAATGCGAAAGCATGAATGTCCTTCCTCCGCTCCCCCAGTTCATCTGAGGCGTAGTGGCGTAGACGGCCGAGCGTGCACTCTCATGAAGTGGCCGTGCCACACTGAGCTCGGCCGTGCAGTCTCTCCGGAATTTGCCCAGGCGGGCTGTACGGCCAGGACCGCACTGCCGCACCTCTTACCGGCGGCCAGGGCACTGCGTGCACTGAGCTGCCATGGAGAGGG